GGGGGGGGGGGGGGGGGGGGGGGGGGGGGGGGGGGGGGGGGGTTGGACCAGATGACCTACAAGGTCCCTTCCAACTCTATCTATCTATCTATGCCTCTATCCATCCATCCATCCATTTGTATTTGTGGAAAAATACAATAAAAATCTATTTTAAAAAAAGAGTTTGATACTGATTAATTTGTTCAATGAATCATTGAACAAATCACTCCAGAGCTCTATTGTTTCTTTTTTTTCTTATTCGTATCCATTTCATGTATGTTTATACTTATACCTGTTATCTTATAATCGCTTGACAAAATAAAATAAATAAAATAAAATAAAAAATTTACAGCAGCACTGGGGAGAAAATAGGGACTTGTGAAAAAGTGGAATCTCTTCCATCTTTGGTGACACATTAAAAGGACAGAGGTTTCCTTGATGACAGGCCCAAGTTTTGGAGAAAGTCAGAGAACTGAACAGTCCACTGGCATTTTTAGATTAATGGTATTTCAAAGCCACAGGCTTTTCTACCAACAGATTATGATTGATCTTGAATAGAAGGATAAAATAGCAACCGTGGCACAGAATTGTTGAGACGTATACAAAGTTAATAAATAATTTTAGTTGATAGAATATACCTCCTTCACAGAATAATAAATGCTATTAAGGGAACTACACTTTATTAGAATCAAACTGCTTCTTACGAATCTGTGATATATTACACAATTACCAAGCTACAAAGGTTATTTGTGAGACTTTCCCATCGGTCTTCTTTCCGCTACTTCCTCCTATTTTCAGTACAGATTGTCCCAATTATCCCGCAGAGCAGGTTTATATTCTAAATTTAGTTATTTGCAATATTGACAGATATAAAATTCGGTTTGCTTTGGCTTTTGGCTGTAAATACTTTACAAATCACTGAAGCAGCTGACCAAGGGCCTGGACATAACTGACAGCTCGGCATTTCCTAGCAATCCAAAATACAGACTATAAATGGTACAAAGAAAATATAAGATCAGCAAAACAGTGAAGAAGGCCAGCTCTTCGCCGGGTCACCTTAATGCTGTCCAAGGCACCTGCTCAATCGCTTTGGGAGGTGCAAAATACAGGATTTTCAGGAGGGAGAATTGCACAGCTTGCTCACTCTTTTTGCACACCTTGTAAGGTGCAGACTTAAGCCTTGGAAGCAAAACCTCCTGACAAAGGACACACACACACACACACACACACACACCCCGTCCCCCAACCTTCTCGGACATTCAGATCTGCAGGGGAGCCTCTCCGCGGAAATCTTTAGCAAAAGGTGAAAGATTTACAGTGCAATCTTTACGTTATGCGTAAAATACACAAACAAGCGTACAAGTATACGTTTATCAATGTTAATAAATTCATTTCCAGATTTTTTTTTAAAAAAAAAGATCTGCAAGGAAGCCTTGTTGAAAATGTCTTAGGATGGGGTGAGTGCCTCCTCTCCAAGATGAGGAATTGCCCCCACCATAGTAGTATTAACACCCCCCTTTTTATTAATATGTACTCCATTAGGGGTCAAGAATGACATGGCACAGGATCCATCGTTTATTTATGTGTTCTATGCAATTTCTCTCTCATCTTGGGAGAAGAACCAAGTTCTGCCTCTTTCATCATGCTTCGTCTTAGAACAGGGGTCTCCATCCTTGGCCGCTTTAAGCCTGGCGGACTTCAACTCCCAGAATTCCCCAGCCAGCAAAGCTGGCTGGGGAA